GTGACCCTTGTTTGCACGGATCATGTTCAGTGACTTGCTACCAACCTCAAATTTCTTTAAGGTGTCCTTAAGTAGCAAGTTTTCCATTTGGAAAGTTTCTAGATCATGGCATTTGATGCATGAATTTAAACTATCATGATATTCAGTTTTTAACTTATCAAAATCACAAGTAAGACTATCATGCTCCTTTTTTAGCAATTTATATTTTCTATCAATAATTTTGCATTCATCAAATAAGTCATTGAAGGCATTTAATAATTCATCGAAAGATATATCTACATCTATTAAATTCGTTACCTCTTCTCCGATGGCCATTAAGGCGTAATGAGCAACTTGCTCGGTGTTGGACTCTTCTTCTTCGGACGCGCTCGAATCATCCCATGTTGCTTTGAGCGCCTTCTTCTTTATTGTTCTCTTTTTGACTTGGGGACAATCACTCTTGTAGTGTCCCGGCTTTTTACACTCATAGCAAATAACTTAGTCCTTCTTGGGTTCAAGTTTATTTTTAGTGTCATTCTTAAACTTGTTTCTTTTAATGAATTTTTTAAATTTTCTTGTTAGAAGTGCCAAGTCATCGTCACAGTCCTCATCACTTGAGTTTTCTTTCAAGTGGTCTTCCAAAGTTCTAAGTGTCATATCCTTCCTGTTCTTTGGAAGGATGTCTTCTTGCTCTTCATGAGCTTTGCAAGTCATCTCGTAGGTCATTAATGACCCAATTAGTTCTTCAAGAGGGAAGTTGTTTAGATCTTTCGCCTCTTGAATAGCAGTGACTTTAGGATCCCAACTCTTAGGAAGGGATCTTAGAATCTTATTTATGAGCTCAAAATCCAAAAAACTTTTTTCGAGTCCTTTTAGACCGTTGATGACATCCGTGAAACGGGTAAACATGTCGCCAATAGTCTCACTCGGTTTCATCCGGAAAAGTTCAAAAGAGTGTAACAAAAGATTGATTTTTGACTCTTTCACTCTACTTGTGCCTTCATGAGCCACTTCGAGTGTGTGCCAAATATTAAATGCGGTTTCACAAATCGAAACACGATTAAACTCGTTTTTATCAAGTGCACAAAATAAGGCATTCATAGCCTTTGCATTAAAAGCGAAAGCCTTCTTCTCCAAATCATTCTAATCAATCATTGGAAGAGAAGACTTCGAAAAACTGTTTTCGACAAGATTCCAAAGTTCAAAATCTATAGAAATAAGAAAGATCCTCATTCGGGGCTTCCAATAGGTGTAGTCCGTTCCATTGAACATGGGTGGACGTGTAATAGAATGGCCCTCTTGGTTTTCGGCGTAAGCCATCTCTCTAGGGTTTTAATCCGTTTGAGAGTTAACCCCGCTCTGATACCAATTGTTAACCCTACTCCACTTTTGGCTTCCTCCACCGACGAGGTCACCGACGTCAACTAGAGGCCTTCCTTCAATAGGCGAAGGCCAACAACCCTTTTACAGTTTCACTCCTTTTGACGGGCTTAGGAGACAACCCTTACAGAAATTTTCTCTCCTCTCTTTACAACTCAAAACTTTGAAGAACAGAGGGAGGAGAACTTTTGGCCTAAACAACAATTTGAGCTCTAAGAATCACAGAAAGATGTCAAGATTTCGAGTGTTAGTTGCTACCTTTCAGTGCTGAATGGGTGGGGTATTTATAGGCCCCAACCCAATTCAAATTTGGAGCTCAAAACTGTCAATTTCTGAAATTTCGGGATCAGGCGGTTGCACCTCCTGACTGGGGCGGTTGCACCGCCTGGCAGAGCTCGAAGACTGAGCCTCTGGGCGATGTCACCTCTGTCAGGGGCGGTTGCACCTCTCTGCCAGAGCTCGAATACCGAGCTCAGGCGGTTGCACCTCCTGACTGGGGCGGGTGCACCGCTTGCCAGAGCTCGAAGACCGAGCTCAGGTGGTGCTACCTCCTATCAGGAGAGGTTGCACCGCCCAGTCTCACTTGGAGACTGAGCCCAAGCGTTTGCACCTCCTGGCTGGGGTGGTTGAACCGCCCAGTCTCCCTGGGAGACTTAGCCCAGGTGGTGCTACCTCTTGGCTTGGGCGGTTGCACCTCCCACAGCAATCAGGGTCCGAATGGGTAGATCCATTCGGCCCAAATTGGGTCTTTCAGGGGCCCAATTGCCCCAAGATTAAGCTAATGGGATCACCTCCCATTTCCAACTTAATCATTGTGCTAACTATGATAAATTCTAAGACAATTTCTGCAGCTTGCTCCGGTGCGTCAATCGCTTCTTCCGGCGAGTTTCCGGCGAACTTCTGTCGATCATCCGATGAACCCTCGGTGATTCTCCTGCGGACTTCAGGCAAACTCCTGGACTTGCGACGATCCACTTGGCGAGTTCCAACGAGCTTCTTTGGCAAGCTTATGGACTTCTCGGATTTGTTCCCGCAGAACCTCCGACGACTGTCCTAACTTCCATCGAGTTCTCGAACTCCCAACATGATCATTGTCATGACTCCAGCGCAACTCCTGTTGCATGTCTTACTTTCATCGTAGTTAATCCTGCACACTTATCTCAATATATAGGTTAGACAACAAATGACAATTGACTTCATCATCAAAATCCGAGATTCAACATGTGACAGCCTCGAAATAAAGATTGCTGATGGACGAATTTTCACTTGTGATAGCAAATGTTCAAAGTTAAAAGTGATTATACAAGGCTAGAAGTTTTCCACAATGATTGCTACACTAAAAGACCATACTTATATAGGAGGGCCAGGACATATTGCTTATACTATCAAAAAGTGGAGACCATACTTGATCAACGTGTTGTAATGCGTTCAAATAGCCTATGATTGAAGTGCTGAAAGAGAAGCTCTCCGAGTTTGATGTTGCTTAGCCTTGAGGACAAGGCTGATTTGAAGGGGGCGAAATTATTAGGATCCCTTTATTTTTTAAACTTTTGAATAATGTTTAATGAGTATGTTTAATTCAGTTAGAGTCGGATAGAGTTTATTTAATATTTATTTATTATTAGAGTCCAAGTCCTAGTAGACTCTGGGTGGAACTCTATAAATAGTGATGTAATCGTTTCTCTAGGGAATCAATTAATTAATCAATAAAATGTTATTACACTCTGTGGACAAACCCTAGGAGACCAATCCCCTCGAAGCGATCAAGGAGGCCGATCCCCTCGAAGCGATCATTATTATTCCCCTTTCTCCCCTTCTTCCACGATAAGACCTTAGGGTCTTATCAATTAGTATTAGAGTGACGATAAGACTTTTTGATCTTATCAAATGGGTGAAAAATGTGAGAAAGAGATTATATCTTATTATTTTGATGCAGAAGACAAGGACAAAAGAGAAAGAAAGTGCATTTAGTATATATCAGGGCTAATCAGTGCATTGCCTGAAGTGGTTGGGCTCAGCCCATTATGCCTATCTCAAGTTATTTTTCTCTTAACATGATTTTGAAATTGATATAACTTAATATGAGTCTAATTTGGATTAATAAAAATAAAGAGTTTTCAATCTAAATTTATCCTTCCATCTCACTTATATGTATCTTAACATTCTTAGTGTAGCACCCATTTTTTATTTCTCTCCACTTAATTATCCCCTAATCCATCTATGCATATATAAATGAATTTGCAACACTTATGTTTATTGCACTTGAGGATTGTATCCTTTCGCTATAAAATATATTTAAAAATATATTTCAGTACTATATATACTTCAAATAACATTTTAAAGAACTCTATACATAACAATTTTAAAAATATATATTTCAGCTTTAAAAACTACTAATATGAGTTTTTATATATCACATTTATGAAGAATAGATTTCATAAAAACATATCTCTAGGTGCTAGTAATATTTGCACGTTATATACTTTTAGATAAGTCAATAGTAGACGTAATTATTTTTGATGGAGGGAATGGTCCCTCATGAGTAATATGTTTTAATAATTTCCCAGAAAAAGAAAATTCTTTTAAGAAGCCCTAGCAAGCCTCCTCATCAAGGAACTATGTATCAAGCTAGAGTCGATTCTATTCCTCATCCAAATAGAACGTTAACCAACGAACATGGGCTATCATCAGGTTTTCCATGAAACTAAACAACTCTGACAAAATTGTGCACCACACATGCCCAAGTGCAGCACAAGTGTGACTTGGTTTATCCTGTGTGGTGACAACCATGCGTCTGACTACTGACGTGACGAGGACTCATTTACTGGATGCAAAGCACCAACACAAGTGGCAGCTAAATGAGCACCACACAGAGACAATCTATGGCGTACCACAATTGCCACATGGGGACTCACCAACCAATGAGAAGACATCCCTTATCCAACCCTCTTATCCACCACCCACACCACATCTTTTAACTCGCCTTCGCAGAGATCCTGCGGAGAAGAAGAGGAGGAGGAAAGCAGCACAGGCACAGTAGCAAAGAAGAATGGCAGCGTCCCTCCAGGCCGCCGCTACCCTCATGCAGCCGGCAAAGGTCGGCGCCACCAGCCGGACCGCTGCAGGAGTGCAATTGAGGTCCTCATCTCACCTCACCAAGGCCTTCGGCCTTGAGCCTGCTGCCAGTGCCAGGCTCACCTGCTCCTTGCAGTCGGACGTCCGAGAGATGGCCCAGAAGTGCGCTGATGGCGTAAAGCTCGCCGGCTTCGCCCTGGCCGCCTCCGCCCTCGTTGTCACGGTACTCGTCCATCCTCCTCGTTCGTTCTCTCCTTCCTCGTGATTACCTCTTCTTTACCCGCACACATGTGACAGGGAGCAAGCGCGGAGGGAGTGCCGAAGAGGCTGACATATGACGAGATCCAGAGTAAGACGTACATGGAGGTGAAGGGGACGGGAACGGCCAACCAGTGCCCGACCATCGACGGCGGGGTGGAGTCGTTCGCCTTCAAGCCGGGCAAGTACAACACCAAGAAATTATGCCTCGAGCCCACCTCCTTCACCGTGAAGGCGGAGGCCGTGAGCAAGAACGCCCCGCCAGAGTTCCAGAAGACGAAGCTGATGACCCGCCTCACC